CCATAACTTAACCTAGGCTGTTGTAAGTAGCTATGCAGCTTCCTGAATGTTTTGGCTGCTTAGAAATTTCTTCTTCCAAATACCCTGGGTCAGCACCTTTAAATTCCACACTCCATAATACTTTGGGGCAAGAAGAGAATTTGGCTAAATTCCTTGCCAGTTCATAGCAAGGGTGATCTTTGCCCCAGTTTCCAATAAGTCCCTTCTCATTTACATCTGAGATCTTCTCAGAATGGTCTTTACTGTCCATATTTCTATCGGCATTCTGCTCACCAACATTTAACCAGTCTCTAAGAAGTTCCAAACTTTTCTTGTCTTCTAAACTCCCTCTAGCGCTAGGCTTTTTCTAGCCTGCTCCTCTAAACTCTTCCAGCCTTTCCTCAATACCCAGTTCCAAAGCTGCTTCCACATTTCAAGTATTTGTTATAATCAGCACCAAACTTCTCTGGTACCATTTTCTATACTAGTCCATTTCTGTTGCCTATAACAAAATATCTTGAACTGGGTAATTTATAAAGAAAATGAAATTTATTACTTATAGTTTCAGAGTCTGGGAAGTCCAAAGTCCAGGGAACAGAGCTGGTGAAGGCCTTGGTAGTGATGACAGTGACCCAGGAGTCTCATGTGGCAGAAAATGGTGGAGTAGAGAGAGCGAGCTCCTCATGCACTCTCCTTTTAAAGCCATCAGAACCACACCCATGACCACCATTTTTAATCCATTTACTAGGCATGGTCCTACAATCTGATCACCAAGAAGCCCCACCTAGCAATTACCAAAATAGGATTTCCCACCCCCCTGTTAACAGGAAAAAGCTACTAATACATAAAACTTGAGAGACACAATCCATATCGTTGGGAGGTGATGATGCTGGTGATGATAATTAATGATGGGGCTGCTTATGGTGGTGGTGGGGTGATGGTGATGGTGAGGACAATAATCACAACAGCCAACATTAACCAGGTCCTTATAAGTGCCAGGCAACATTCTAAATGTTTTATATATACTAGCTCATTTAATCCTCACACCACCACAGTGCAGTAGGCAATGTTATTATTTCTATTGGCAAAGGAAGAAACTAAGGCACAGAGAGCTTAAGTCACTTGCCTAGAGTTGCATTGCTAGTAGGAACACAGCTTTATTACTGTTCTTCATGCACAGATGGAAATCAGGCCTGCCTTTGGGGACCTACAGTAATAACAGGGCAATTATAATTGAGTGTGATGTGTGCAGTAAGAGCAGTACAGATGATGATGATGACAATGGTATTTACTTAGCACTTGCTCGATGCCAAGCACACTTTTAAGCATTCTGTGTGCATCTTCTCATTGAATTTTCCCAACATGCCTATGAAGTAGGTTATTTTTATTACATTTTATAGAGGAAGAGCTCCAGGCCCAAACTGGTTTAAGTTATTGGTCACACAGAAAGTGGCAGAGTCAGGATTTGAACCTGTGATCTTTACTCTGCCCTCCAGAGATAGCACAGTCTGAGGGTTTGGGGAGGCCTCACAGAGAAGGTAGCACCTGAACCAAGACTGAGGGATCAATAAGAGTTTCCAAGTGTAGGAGGGGACTGGCATTCCTGGCAGTGGGAACAGCAAGGACAAAGGCAGAGAGGTGGGACTGGCCCAGCATGGTCACTGATTGGGCAAGTGTGGCTGGAACATGGTGGGTAGAGCAGGAGACGATGCTCTGCTTCTGATGGGCTTTGCTGTCTCTGTTCAGGACTCAGGGTTATCCTGAGGGCAATGAGGAGCTCCTCAGGAGAGTGATGGGAGCAGATTCCACCTGGAGGTGGAATTCAATTCCAGGCTACTAGAACCATGACGATAAACAAGACTGTGAATTTGAAAATGAAATCCACCTTATCATGCCCCACATGGAAATCCAGTAGCACTCCTACTTTTGCCTGGCTTTTATGTAAAAGAACCAAGCAAATCCAACTGCCTGTCATTAGTCAAGGTCGAAATTAAATTGTTAGAATAATTTCCTTAGGTCTCTCACTCACACTGCAACTTGTTGTCAGCCCAAAATCTCTTCCACAGAAACCACCATTTGGGGACTGTTACAGTGGGATTTCAGATAGTGTTCCATCCCCCTACCTGACCCCATAATTATCTCACATGCCATGAAATATTAGAAAGAGAAATGACTCAGTCTGGAACCTGACCCAGGCTAGCTCTGACTTCAAGACCCTTATCCTCTTCAGACCTTCATTCTCTTTGCTGACAATAAGGAGTCAATATTGGTGTCCTCTGTGAGAATCTGATGAAGACTTTGAACACTTAACTTGTGGAGGAGGTGCAAGGGACAGGCATAACTGCCAACACAGAGATGTACATGTGATTTCAGGGACAATGTAATATGCCATTGATCCTCACAACCAGATCGTCATTTCTAAGCCCCTCATGAGGCCCGGAAATTCTGAAGTTGTCACTGTTTACTGGTTTTAGGATGGCAGAAATACCATGGAGCTGGTATTTCCAGTGATTATTTAGAACTATAAGTGCGATGGACTTTTATGGCCAAGAGTTCTTTTCAGTGGTTTAGGATGAATGGGACATGGAGTTTGTATTCTATTTAGTATCACAGGCAAGAATCCTTTACTGTAAGGAGCAGGAAGAGAAATAAGACACTGGGAATCATTTGAATACCCAAGGGCTTTGCAGGTGGATATTAAGTTAATTGGACATGTGGCCTATAATGTCAATCCTCCTGACATTTTTTCCATTAACAGGACCCCCAGGTCTTTGAGACTCCTACCGCCAGCCAGCCAGATAATTGCCTGGCTGGGCTTCCTCCTGCTGGGGCCCCACAAAATTATTCTCATTTGCAACTCTGGTTCCTCTGGCCAGTCACTAGAGCTTTGCAATAAACGCATTATATGGAGGGAGAGAATGCATGTCTGATCCTTGTCTGCCTTGCTTAAAACCCTGCAGTAACTTCCACTGCCCTTATGACTAAAACCAGTTCCCTTAATTCAGCCTTCAGGGCCCTGGCTGATCTGGCTTCCAATTCTCCATTTTGGCTCCTCCTCCTCGTTCTTGTACTCTCACGGATTTAACACTCTCTGTCCAGAACACACATCTTTCTCTGCCCTTAACTTGGCTAACTCCTCTTCATCCTTCAGATCTTGCCCTAAACCCATTTTCTTGGGGAGCCATCCAGAGTCCTGGGCTTGGATAGCTATCCCTTGTAGCCCCTTTTGCTTCCCTCGATGCCACATTCATCACTGTATTCTAATTACTTGATAGTCTGCTGTCTCTCCACCTTCGATTGATTCCTACCCTGAGGCACAGGGTTGCTCCTGTCTGATGTACGGCTACTTCCCTGAGAGAAATGGGCTGGCACAGCTAGGAAGGCACTTCATATATGGCTAAGTGCTCCAGGATGGTTTTTAATCAGTGCCTGCCTGCCTCTGTGTTCTTACCTGTGAACTGGGGATAAATTGGCCCCTACCTTTTTCACAGACCTGGGCCTGAACAAAAGGAGGGGCTTGGTGTAAAAAGTACATTAGAGGAAACCTGGTGAAACACACTGGAACACACTGCTTTGTGACTCAGGAGTCTTGCCTCTTTAAAAATCTACTCCCCAAGGCCAATTATGTCTTTCCTGCTCAGCCCACCTTCTCTTGCCTGGAAGCCCTGCCTGATTAGCCCTGCATTTAATCCATCCTGCAGAGGGACACTCTAGGCTGGCAGAATGCTGGCCTCGTTTCTTGCAGAGTAGGAAGAATCCTTGCTGAATACAAGTCAGCCTGCAGCCAGCTTTGGATTTCCAAGGGGCTTCTCTCTACGGTCACAGTTAACCTCTGCTTTCTTGCCACCTACCTCTCATGACGGCCTCTGTGCACCTGTGCTCTTCCCAGCCCCAACACCACATCTGAGCTTCACTTGGGCCACATGGAGGTTTCCAGGCATCTACCCCACAGTACAGGGAGAATAGGATCTCCTGCTGAGGCTTCTGGGAGCTTCTGAAGATACCCGGAGCCTGGAGAGATGGAGGAAGGAGAAGCCTGGGTAAGAGGAATCGGCTGACCAGAGACAATGCTGAATCATTTGGCAAACTTTTCCTGTGAACCCCTAAATTGTGGCTGCTGTTTAGAGGCAGAGGCGTGCTGTGAGTAGGGTGAGGTGTGGCTTCCTATCTTCAGTTGTCTTGGAGCTTTTGGAAGGATCTGGGGTAGGTGATGAGATCGAAGGAAAAGCTGGAAAACTAGATTTGAGGAGAAAGAGGGCCTCTGGGGATCTGAGTGGTAGGAACTGAGCGGCAGAAGCACCTCAGTGTTCCCACTGGGATGTGCTGCTGTTCGGTCTTAGAGTCAGTAGTTGAGAGTACCATTGCCCTACCTTGAGTCCCATGCCCCCCGCCTTAGCCAGCAGAGGGGCAGCCCCATATTTGGATGCTGATCCCACCGTGACTGTATGTTAGGGAAGGGTAATTTCCTAAAGCAGAATCAGGATGTAGTTACTACAGAAAGGGGTAACGGATGCTAAACAGGCAAAGAATAGATGGCCATCATAGTCACAGCTGGTTCTCCTAGTAAAACCCATGTGCCATTCCCCCTGCTCTCACACTATTGAACCCCGGAGTTCTCTCAGACAGTCCCCCCCAGCCCCCCGCCCCCCCCTGCTTCTTTCAGAGACTTGAACACATGTCCTCAGTGCATGCAAAGGACCTTCCAGGTTGGTCATGTTCTTGGAGTAAGGTTGGATGTCTGTGTCTTTTGCACAACTCTCTTTAAAAACATCTTGCACTCCATCTGCAAATCCATCCCATTGGCAATCACAGATTGCAGCCTGCAGAAGAGGCCCTATTTGGGTTGGGACAGGGTTGGAAATGGTGAGGGCTGCAGATTGCCCCTCCTGTCCCAGGGCAGACCAGAGCAAGCAGCCAGTTCTCCAGAAACCACACAAAACTGGAGTAGAATTCTGCATCATGCTTTGGCTTCTCGGCTCCACTAAACTCTGTCCTCTAACTGGGATGGTTTCTCTTTGCAGCAGAAAAGAACACATCTGGAACGATAAGCCGCCCTTCTCCAGGAAGGATGGAGTGGATCATCCCTCTGATTGTGGTATCAGCCTTGACCTTCGTGTGCCTCATCCTTCTCATTGCTGTGCTAGTTTACTGGAGGTAAGTGAGCCAGGCGGCACCTACTGAGTGGATAAGTGGATGTGGGGATCGGCTCACTGGGGAGGGGAAGCCCATGGCCTCTGCATTTAGAAAGGTGAGGCAGCTTGAGTGTTTCTAGTGTTGCCACCTGGGAGAGGACCTGGCAGACAAGGTCTAGCTGGCCCACTCAGTTGGCCTGGCTGCCTTCACTTCTCAGGCTAATGTAGGAGGCTTCTGCCCTTTTTCTAACGTACTTCACCAGTGAGAAACAGGTGGTGTATTTTCATCTCTCCCTCCCTTCTTTCCATTCATTCAATTAATTCTGAGTCCTTACGGTGTGCCAGACAGTTTTCTAGGCACTGCTGATACAAAAGTGAGCAAAACATCTGAAAATCCTTGCTCTTGTGGACCTTACATTTTAGTAGAGGAGTTAGGCAATAAACAAAGCAAATAACTAAAACATAAAATTCCTGAGATGGTGTTAAGTATGTAATGGAGAAAACTAAATCTGGAAAAGAGAGGGTTGTGCTGGGGCTTAGAAGTGAGTGTTTACATTGGTCAAGGAAGGCCTACCTGGGAAATGATATTTGAGCAAAGACCTATAGGAGGAGGGAACCAAATGGGCTCCATCTGAGGTTAGTTCCAAGCAGCAGAAACAGCACGTGGGGCCGGCCTGGTGGCGCACTGGATAGTGCGCCGCTTGGGAAGCGTGGCGGCGCTCCCGCCCGAGGGTTCGGATCCCACATACAGACCGGTTCCCGCTCACTGGCTGAGCGAGGCGCGGGAGCAGCGCCGAGGGTTGCGATCCCGTTGCCGGTCCTCGGTCCGGTACGGGGGCAACACTGAGGGTTGCGATCCGTTGCCGGACACGGAAAAAGACAAAAAGACAAAAAAAAAAAAAAGAAAAAGAAAAAGAAACAGCATGTGCAAAGGCCCTGAGGCGAGCATGCCTGGCCTCTTCTAGGAACAGCCAGGAAGTCAGTGTAGCTATAGCATGTGAGTACAGGGGAAGAGTGGTAGAAGAGGGTGTGAGGAAGAAACAAGGTAGAGGAAGACTAGGTCAAGTATAGCCTCATAGGCCACCGTTAACACATTGCCTTTTACCCTAAGATTAGTACAGTTTGATACAGAAGAATATTGTGATCTGACCTCAAGATTACTTGGCTGCTTGCTGTGTTGAACAGACTGAAGAAGAGCAGGGGCAGAGACCATAGGGGAGACCACTGAACTAGTTCCAGAAGGAAGTGATTGTGGTTCAGATGTGGGTAGCAGTGCAGGTGAAGAGAGTTGATTGCATGTAGATATATTTTGAAGGTGGGATCAACAGAATCTGCTGACAGATTGGCTGTATGTCTTTGGGTCTGTTCTCAATTGGCTGGAACAGGAGAATAAGGAAGGGGTCATGTCAGGCTCCCCCATGTGACTGACAGTCACTATAGGACTGTTGGTGCTGCAGACCAGCTTGATTGTGAAGTACATTGTGTACAGGGATGAGCATGAAAACACCAGATTCACCTCCATGCCATCCTTTCTCCAGGAGAAAGTGGTTTGCAAACAAATATTTGTCTAAAGCCCTTTGGTAAATTGGGACTGCCTAATGTGAGTTTAACTGGGCATATAAAGTAACAAAGGTCTGTATGGCCAGCTGTTGTCTTTGCTCAGTGCTATGTGGTTTTTGTCAGACTCTCCCCACATGGGAGCAGAGAGGCCCCACAGCTGCCCTAGGCTGGGTGATCCTACTTTTGCAATCCCAGTTCAAGGAAGCACCTGTACCAAGCAGTTCTAGGGAAAACTTCAGGACTGTTTCTCATTGGTCCACCTTTGGTCCTCTGCCCACCCTTGAACAGATCACTGTGACCAAGAAAGATCATGAACCAAGCAGGCATAGATACCAGACCAGCCAAAACATAAGCGTTTATTGCAAGCTTCTTGTAGAAAAGGGCTGTGTAATGTAGTAAAGGTATCTTTAAAATCCTTCCATTCAGGGTGTATTTTCCCTATGGAAAATGACAACTGTTTATACTTCTGAAAAACAGTGAATACAAGTGGAAAATATTAATTGAATAATATATTAATAGTTCATATCTAAAATATTTTTATAATGTTTATGTATTTTTTCCCAAAGTTTGGTTTAAAGTAACCAGAGCTTTAAACTTCATCCAGGAGGTTCTGGATTTGAGATTTTATCAAACTCCTAATGCCAGTAGCACAAAAATGAGTGTGAAGGAGAACATTCTTACAGAGCAAGGAAATTATGAGTGAATTAGTGTTAAGTGGATGAGTTGGCTAAGCATGAGAACAACCTAGAAGGGACAGGACCTTTTTTCTGTCCAACTTTTTTTTTTTTTAAACGTGAAAGAAGGATACATTAGGGAGCACACGTAGAAACTTGGTAAATAAAGAAGGGACAAATGTTTCTTTTTGGCAATGCAGTTTTGAAGCTAGAACAACAGTGCTTCTCATTTGCCTTTTGAGGCACAGTGAGAGTGGATGATTGGCAAACAGACTTGACATAAGTAGAGCATTGAGGCAGATCAAAACCTTCTGGAATATTTCCTCAGGTGGCAGGACTGGCACCCGGGGCTTCACACCAGCTCACTGTGGCAGCAATTTCTATCATAACCAAGGACTGATCCTTTGCAGCTATTGTTCTGGATTCTGAGTGTGTTCACTCGGAGTTGTTGACACTGCAATTTAATGGGTTCATGAAATAGTGGAAAATTAAACCCAAGTTTTCTGAATTCTGCCTCTCCTGAAGTCTCCCACTATACAATGATGTTGGTGCTTGAGAATGTTCAGCAAGTCCTTTTTGAGTGCCAGGCACTATGCCAAGCACTTCAATGGCACAGTCTCATATGATTCTTTCAAAAAATCTGAAAGGTAAGTACTATTACTATCTCCTTTCTTTGATCTGCTTCCTTTGGCCAGGAAAGAGAAAGGGAACTAACATTTGTTGAATGCCTGCTGTGGCCCAAGCAGTGTGGCAGATGGTCATCCGTTGTGTTGGTCAGAACCATTTTCTGTTGGAATTGACAGAAATTCATTTCAAACTGCTTTAAGCACAGCGGGTCAAAGTTTGTTGACTCATGGAATTGAATATTGATTCAGGAGCATCAGGCCTGGCTGGATTCAGAAGGTGGAACAAGGACATCAGGGCTTGGCTGATTTGGTCTGTCTGCTTCTCTTACTCTCAGTCTCCAGGATCTGCTCTCTGTGTGGTCTTCTCTCTTAAGTAGGCCCTCTTACTGTTTCCATATGGTGGCCTCTGGCTCACGTCAGACTTACATCTGGACATCCCACTGGAAAGGGAATTTCTTTTCTCTAATACTTCAGTTAAGTCCCAAGATGGCATCTCGTATGACTGACTCAGGTCATTTGTCCATCCCCAGAGTCTTCTGGTGGCCAGAAGGATGGAATACTCTTGTTGGGCTAGGTCTTATGTTTAATTCTGGAGCCCAGAAGTCATTGCCATGTAGTTTAGAAGGCTCAGCTAAGTGGACTGTTATTTAAGAAATTATAAACCTGTTTCTATTGCATGGGCATTGGACCCATGTGCAGGTTCCTACTGTGTGTGCAATGCTTACAGAATTCCTGCCCCTACATTATGCTGGGCCTGGTGATTCAAGGGTGAGGTCCCTTTGCCTCACAGTGCATTGGAAGAGACAGAGGAGTAAATATAATAGAGTGGATGAGTTTGGAGAAAGGTAAGTCCATGTTGCTATGAGAGCAATAGGCAGGGCTTCAGCCCAGCCTGAGAGGGGGATTGGGGTCATGAAAGTCCCCCTGGAGGATCTGATGTCCAAGCTGGGTGTTGATGCACAGGCAGCCAGTTGAAGAGGGTATGGAGGAATGAGGCTGAAGAGAGAAAGCCTGGCCTCCTGCAAGCAGACACACGCAGTTCAGTGTTGGTGGGAACAGCATATGAGAGCAGAGTGTGGTGACAGCAAGGGCCGGATCGTGAAGGCCCTGGATGCCACCCGAAGGGATATGTGCTTTACCATGAGGATGACTGAAGGTGCCGAAGTTGCAGGAGGGCAAGATCAGAAAGAGGCTATACTGCTAAGTGGTGAAGTAGGAAAACGGGCCCAGAGTCACACAGCCTGGATTTGGTGCCAAGTTCCACCACACTCACTACCTGTGTAGCCATACAGTGTGTATTCTTAACAGGGGTGTCAACATCCCCAACGGGGTAAAAATTGGCTCTGGGGAGGTGGGAAAACTTACTTATTTTGTGTATAAAGCACAGATATACCTATAGTACATCTGCGTACTAGTGGTATTAAAATTACATTGGGAGTGGGCGATTAGGGAAAAATGTCTATAAAGGCCCCCTAAGGCAAATACCAGTGAAAAATGGGTTGAGAAACACTGACTTAGACTAAGACTTCACCAGCTTCAGTTTCCTCATCTGCAAAATGGGGTCAAGAATTGTGCCACTGGGGCTACATTTAGGATCCAGCACAAGCTGTGGGAAATGCTTGTTCTGGTTCCTGGCATATGGTCCATGTGCAGACGTTTGCTGTGGTATTATACCAGGTCTGACTTCAAGGAAAAATAGGAATTTAATTCTGGGGCCTGGTGTGCCTAAAAAGAATTGGTTTTTTTAGTAAAGCAAATCAAATTTAAAGATCTAAGTGAATGTTGTCCCTTACATGTAATCACACTGTAGCTATACACAATTTCCAGTATGTCTAGGACATAAACTATGCTTGAAGATAACTTTTGGAATAATCTTTTTAACTTCATTCTTCTGGATGATCTCAGTTGTGCAAAATCTTTATCCTAGAAATAGCTAAAAGTTATCTGTTTGAAGCTAAATATAGTGTAAATGTAGGTTAGCCAACTGAGCAGAACCACTTTGGGCCAAAAAAAGGCAAGGGGTTATTATAAAGTTAATGAAATTGGTTTGGGGGATGCTTCTAATTGGCCTAAAGGCAATTCCAGAGGAGGACATCCCTAAGTAACTAGGTTAAAGACATGACCCCACCCCCTACCCCCAGGGAAACTACTGCGAAGCCCAG